GCCATCTTTTCCTCAAAAAAAATTGGTTAAAGTGGTCAGAAATTGCCTCAGATCGCACCACAGAGCATCTAGAATCCAAAAAAATTTCGGGGCCCTTAAGCGGGCCCCGAACCCGTAATTTTTGGACCCACTTTTTGGGGGGAACAAAAAAAATTTTTGGCCCCCCCAAAAAAATTGTGTTCTGGATCCGCCCTTGTTGCCTGCCTGAAAATATTGAAATATATGATGCTTCCTCATGCATTCTAAGGAAATTTAAGAATGAATTTAGGAACTTTAAAGATTTCATTTATTATGTTTTGACCCATTTTACTATTATCATAACGTTAATCAGTAGCTGAAATGGGTGATCCGCCCGCTCCCGATCCACCACTGGGAGTCACTCAGGTCTCACGAGTTGCTTTCAAAATCTCGGATACGAAGCTGAAATTAAGCCAAAGTTTCGAACTGTGCTCTGACATTGATCAAGGGGACCGCAAAATGTGCAGTTTGCCAACCAAGCGTAGAAAGGTTTTTTTACAATACGATCACGCTTCACGCTGTTTAGCTCATAGTAGGGGATCATATTTGCATATTCTAAAATCATTGACATAATATTCGGTCTGACCAATTAACAATTCAGCGTGGCCGCATTTTTTTTTTCTGGATAGGGTGTTTATGGTACTAGACTTTATTTTGTAGCCCTGAGAAAATAAGGTATATATCCATATCATCTGAAATACATGCATGTGAACCTTAAACGGGGGTCACGGTATTTTAGCATGATTTTGCGGGCATTTATATATTTAGAAATTTAAATACACCGTTAGAGCCAATTGTTTTCCTAGTTATCGTTTGATGCGTTCTTAATGAAAGACACAAGCCAATAACACTGTATTAAAGGGTTCCATTTGATGGTGAAGACGACCCCCCCCCCCCCACCCACGGCCCCCGATGGAATCTCAAGTCGTGTAACGGCTATGTTTATTGAGACTGAGATTGAAGAATGCTATAAACGGGATTTTTAAGTGCAGTACAGTCCTTAGAAACGATCAATGACGAGTTATTAATGAAGACATTCTAAAAAAAAAAAAAGTCCTCGTTCGAAGAAATCCATCCCTGGGCTACAAATTAGTCCACACAGTGCGACTAATGGCTCAAGTCCTATTGACAATAATTTGTAAATAATACAGCATTTCAGATCGTTATGGCCCCTCACACCATCTCAGTGCACAGGCGCAAATGGCTAATTCAAACCGAGTAACCATTCAATGCAAAAATCGACAAAGGACTCTCACATCGCAACCCTAGGTTGCGGGATTCAACGCAATAACCTCCGGAATAACCACACATATCTTGAAGTCGATGCTCCATACAACAAGGCTACAGCGAGTTTAAAACTGTCAAGTTCACTGACCTCCGATCGCGCTATTATTTCAGAATGTGTGTCACCCTTTCTCATAGTATTACCTTCTTTCGGGGGGGGGGGTAGTTGCGGTATTGGGGTCTGGCTAACCGTTGTGGAAATTGATCAGAGAGATAAGCCAAAAAAAAAGACAAACACGGAGTGCATAGTTATATGAGGTGCAATTATCAAACAAATTACACAATTATACAAATTACCGATATACAACAATTTTACAACCAACAATTATACAGTCAAACGTTGTGTCAACGTTGCTTGAATGTCATCGTGACACGTTACCAAATGACAACATTTTCACAACTTTGCACAACGTTGTGGCAACGTGATGTGTTTGCTGGGCAGAACCCGCACAGGTTTATCCTGAAAAAACTGGTAGTTTTTAACGAAATCTCGTTTTCTTATGTTTGAGCTTGGGATCATTGTTTGTGGTATTTTGCATCTATTAATTTATGTGTATGCATTTTAAACTGTTATGATTTTATGTAAAGTATGTGTATAATGCAATCCAACCTAACGGTTGCCAATAAATATGTTATCCTATAAGTGACTTCTTTACGAAGGAGGACAGACACACAAAGGGAACACAGGATTTTTCCTGTCCTCGGTTGCCAATCTTTTGTACAAAACTGTCCTCAAACGTAAGTGTGCATGTTAAGAACATGGGAGAATGTTATACAGGGACAAAGGAAAACACTACTGGTTGTCCTCAGGCGTTTTGTAATCGGACTGGGTTGGTAGTCGGGTCGGTGGGTGGGCCTGTTGGTCGAACGGTCGGTCGGTCGGTCGGTCGAGTACAAAGATGACTATAAGATGGTCCGTCTGGGATTAGCAGTGATTTAAGTCTTTTTACGTTCTTTTTAGAACCACAAAAAAAGAGAGATGGACCACTTTTTGCAGAAGGTCTACGTGACAAAATTTGACCTTACTTAGCCGTGGAAGATCAACTATAATGGCTTCATTTGACATTGTCAATTACAAATTTTATGTATGTTTTAGTACGAGTGACTTTAGCCACATTATTGCACTATAACAACCCATGGTAGGGGAAATAATTCTTAAAATCAGGGGAAACTCACCAAATCTGTTCGAGCTCTAACAGATGATCAAACAAGCAACATTAAACAAGACTAATGATGCTAGAACTGTTTTGTGCAGCAACTTTCGATGACGCAGTACAAAATCGCGCAGGATTTTCCATCCCAAAACCGGATTACACCTCATTTCGCAGTACTACTGCTCTTCCTGAAAATAGTTCCTTCAAAAGGAATCGTAATTAACTCTTGATGAATCACTCCCTTCCCTTTACATTTAAAAACGTCCAAGTCATTCTCGAACATTGATAATACTGTTTAGCAGCCGTTGTGCAATTATCTTAATCGCGATACTTCCGAGGATTCCCCCCCCCCCCCCCATACTGCATAACGGTAGGCGTGAATAAGTCGAGCAAAACACGGCTTTTAATATATCTCACGGTTCAGGGTTATATGTCAAACCACAGCTTTATTTGTATTGTATAGTTCCTTGTAAAGATATACTATATCGTCATTGAAACACGAATAGGCTATTTTTAATGCTTTGTGGGAAATTCCCGATCAACTGCAATAATCAGTTTCACGGACATTTGTGAAACTCCGGCTTCGTTACGGACTAGTTTCTGACTTCAGTGTTATATATTTACAAGGCGTCCGAACCACAATCTAAAATTTGTCCTCATATCCTGTAGGATTTGAAGCACATCAATGACCCACATTGATAGGGAGTTAGGGAGGCAGTGGCCTTCGGGAAATAAGGATGTTGATAAAAATAGCGGAGGGGCGGAGAGTAAAGGCTTGCCAAAGGCACGCACTGCTAGGGGTCGGGTTGGTTGCCTTCCTGCCCCGAAAATATTGAAATATATAATGTTTCCTCATGCATTCTAAGGAAATTTCAGAACGAATTTAGGAACTTTAAGTTTTTCATTAATTAGGTTTTGACCCATTTTACTAGTATCATAACATTAATCAGCAGCTGAAATGGGTGATCCCCCGGCTCCCGATCCACCACTGGGAGTCACTCAGGACTCACTGGCTGATTATAAACTCTTGGAGACGAAGCTGGAATGAAGCCAAAGTTTCGAATTGTGCTCTGATATTGATCAAAGGGACCCCATTACGTTGCGGAGTGATCCATCAAGTAACACTGATGTAACCGTTGTGCATCGTCCCCATGGCAATCGACCCGTATAACCTTCTCTTTTTTGTAAACATTGGCGACATTTTATATGGGCTGCCGCATGCGCATAAACAGGAGCCGTGGTTGGCCGTTATTTTCCCAGAAAAAACGTCCCCATAACGCCTTCAATACAAAATTAAAAGGCATGTGTAAAAATTATGTTGTATGTTTGTAAACAATGTTGCATTTCCAAGTACCAAAAAAATGTTTGGTTATCTGTAATAACTCTTCTTCATTTTTGCAGTGTTGGACCTTCCATAGTTTTGCAACCCGTCGTTGACAAATTGTGCAGTTTGCCAACCAAGCGTAGAAAGGTCGATACGATACGATTACACTAGATGCTGTTAAGCTCATAGAAGGAGATCATTTGTATATTCTAAAATCATTGACATAATATTCGGTCTGACAAATTTACAATTCAGCGTGCCCGCATTTTTTTTTTTTGTGGATAGGGTGTTTCGGGTACTAGACTTTATTTCGTTACCCTGAGAAAATGTAGTATATATTCATATCATCTGAAACACATGCATATGAACCTTAAACGGGGGTCACGGTATTTTAGCAAGATTTTGCGGGCATTTATATATTTAGAAATTTAAATACACCGAGAGAGCCAATTATTTTCCTAGTTATCGTTTGATGTATTCTTAGTGAAAGACACGGACAAACCAATAACCCTGTATTGAAGGGTCCAATTTTGATAGTGAAGACGCCCCCCCCCCCCCCCCCCCCCCACGGCCCCGATGGAATCTCAAGTCATGTAATGGTTATGTTTATTGAGACTATGAGATTGAGGAATGCTATAAACGTGATTTTCAAATGCAGTACTGCAGTCCTTAAAAACGATCAATGTCGAGTTATTAATGGAGACATTCTGAAGAAAAAGGTCCCCTTCCGGAGAAATCCATCCCTAGGCTGCACGATAGTCCAAACAGTGCGACGAATGGCTCAAGTCCGATTAACATACTAATATGTTAATAATACAGTATTTTAGATCGTTATCGGCCCTCATACCTTCTCCATACACAGGCGCAAATGGCTAATTCAAACCGAGTAACCATTCAATGCAAACATCGACAAAGTGTCTTGCCCAAGGACTCACACGTGACAACCCTAGGTTGCGGGATTTAACGCAATAACCTCCAGAATAACCACACATATCTTGAAGTCGATGCTCCATACAACAAGGCTACAGCGAGTTTAAAACTGTCAAGTTCACTGACCTCCGATCGCGCTATTATTTTAGAACGTGTGTCACCCTTTCTCATAGTACATGTATTACCTTCTTTCAGAGGGGGGAGGGGGGGGGGCAGTTGCGGTATTGGGGTCTGGCTAACCGTTGTGGAAATTGATCAGAGAGACAAAAAAAAGACAAATACGGAGTGCATAGTTATATGAGATGCAATTTAATGTAGTCCGTCAGTGGTTCAAGGATTCAACTCCCTCATCTTAATTAAATAACAGTGTGTACGTAACAGACTGTGTTAATGTCATCCTTTAATGAAAAAAAACGAGAGAAAAAACTGAAAAAACTTTTCATCACGAAACACGATTTCGTCTACACGGAGCTCTATATTTCAATCACCTAGGTATAGGCTACATTGTTTGGACTTCTTCTAAATGAGAGCAAGCCAGTAAGAATAATTTCACGAGGTTTTTAGCACTAGAACTATCTTTCATCTATAAAGCCTTCTTGATAATAATTCACTAGGTTATACTTTGAAATAAAAGCAAAACTCCGATTTGCCGATTTCAAAGGAGTCTTTGTACCTTTTTGGTTTGTGAATTTCCATATTCATGAGCAAAGCCATTATGTCTTTCCAGGCAGAACATTTAATGTAACGTACGGCTTCTTCAGCACCCAAAGTTGCTACAATAGTCAGAATGAACAAACTTTATGAACAGATCTTTTCTAGCTCAGCAAATTTGTGGATTCAATCAGTTGAACTGCAAACTAACAAACGAGTGTGTGCCTTCAATGAAGTCACAGCAATTAAACACAATTAAACAAACATTTTTATTTTTGTTTACGAATAAGGGAACGGAAAAGGGATGGTTAGCACCCTTCCCTCCAACTGGTCAATGCTAATAATTTACATATGGAAAAAAAGTCTGAAACTTCCTTATTCCGTAAGTACCGTCATTACTCAGTATTGCACATCTTTTTTTTCCCCTTGCTTCTTGTTACGCGTTGACAGAACAGCTGCATCTCCCCCTTTCCTCTTCAAAGATCATGGATTTAAACACCCCAACCCCCTTGGCAAATCCTGAACCCGCCGATGTGGGAGAGGAAATAAAACTGCACAGTGGCATGAATTGATGATCATTTAATGTCAACGGTGTCCTTATAATGCTCCCAACATCAATAGAGTGAGAAAAGAAATCGTCGTTGGGGTGTAGCAGCTCCGATCCGGCTCCAACCTGGAGATGTTTTTGTCACCACTGTCATTCTTCCGTGTTCACATTATACTCATCTCTCAGCTTAAACACACACTCCTTCATTTCATCCAAGGATGGACAAGGAAGCTCCTCCGCAATCTTCTCGATTTCCTTGGCCAGTTCAGGCACTGTCTTGCTGCTGATGTTCTCGGCCGAGGTCACCAGCGTGTACAGGTCGATGGGTATGGCAACGACACTGAAGACCACACCGGTGATGGCCAGGCCCCGACCAGCGGCCGAGGCCGTCTTGAAAGCTGTTTGACCGGCTGCCTTCCCCACGCTCGCTGCCTGGGCGCCCGCTTCCACCATCCCTCCCACTACCCCAAGCCCGTGCCCGACCACAGTAGCAGACCTCACACCCATCACTGCCGCGCCCATGTCTTCCCAGGTTGACTTCAATCTCCCCAGAGCCTCCAGGAATTTCTGATAGGCTGTGTTGTCATCCTCGAGTGCTTTCTGAACCCCCTTCTCTGTTATTTTGGAGGTGATGGCTTCCGTGGCCATGCCTCCGACTGTGGTCAGTCCACCGGCGGCTCCAATGCCTGCCCCGACGGCTGATATGGCGAGAGACGCTCCGAAGGTAAAGAACGCCGCTACGAATCCACCGATTGTTAGACCAGAACCTACAAGTCCGGCTGTACTACCAACAACCTATGAATCAAGAAGAGAGAAAAAAACAAATTTTGAAAATGCTTTAACTTATATATAATATATACTGGAGATTTGAGGTACCTTTACTGTACCACAGCCACATGCTCGGCTGTATTCCCAGCAACGCACAACAGAAGATGAAATCTTGAATCTTGCCTATTAAAGAGAGTGAGAGTAGACGAAATGTGCTGATTTTTTGTCCGAATCCAAATTCAGGCTGTGATCAAGTCATCGACGTTGAATCACGGACAAGTCGTCTACATTCTAGTCAATACAAGCTATTCAAATGATTATAGATTTGAAGATTTGCGTGGAAGAGGCAACAGAACGAGTACGCTTTCTGAAGCATGCATGCATACAACGAAATCTCCGTTCTGACTTTTGTGTGGTTCTGAAAAAAAAAAGTATGCTCTACCTGTCGTCAGAAGACTGTGGAATTTACAACATCCAGGTGATGAATGGTTACGTTCGATAACCGAAGCAGTGAAGCTGCAAGCTCATTCCTTTGTCAATGTTTTCGCCACAATGTACTTATTACCCGACTTGCGATGGACCCTTGATTGACCCGTGATTAATTTGTGACCGATTCGATTGCAACTCTGTCCTTCTGCAGTAAACAATTTGTCTAGGATGCTATGGCAATCGTTTGTCCATTTGCTTTAACATGTGGAAGACACGAGGCTATCCAGAAATTGGTCCATCATTGCAATGATGAAAATTGAACCACAAAAGGATACAGGCATGTATGTGTGTTACGCCTGGTGTCAATTAAGATGTACCTTGGCTGTTTGAGCATTGGCGTGGTGTTTGGTGAGGTACGCCACCAAGTCTCGCAGAACTTTGACCGTGTTCTGTCGACAGCGCACGAACTCCGTCGCCGCATCGTCTAAAGATTGCAGTTGGAAGGCGAGTTGTAGTTCATCCTCCATGGCTGATGAAACAAAAAATGTAAGTTTATAATAATTTATGCGATCTATAACAGAAGCTGCTTTAAAAAAAAGTTTGCTGGCTTCATTGTCCTCGAACATCGCACATCTTATGAGAAGGCCTGATGTTTTGAGACAAGCATAAGCTAGACATTTATTTATTTGGCCTTTAGATTGCACATGTCCAAGGAGAAAAAAGAGCTGGGAAATAATGCCTAACCAGCCGGGGACCTTGAGTGCAAAATCAGGCCAACTGAAGTCACTCTTTAGCAAACAAAATGCTCTAAATATTCATGAGGCAAAGACAACGTACTCAGTATTTCACCAGCCAAGTTTGAGGTCGCAATTCAGTTTTCATGAGAGATATTTCTTCAACAATGTGCACCTGAGAGTTATGCAAAGTGATTCCAATTTGATGCCCAAGACTTGACTGGTTCATGTCCAACTTTTTGAAAAGATTGAGCATTCAGTAGTCTGCTGACATGACTACGGAGACAATGTGTGGAAGAATGAGTAGGTACCTAATGTTTCTATGACACAGTTGATTGATGTGTTGGGGTGTTTGACTGGTTGTTTCATGTGCCTGTCTGTTATCTTGTATTGTGCCTGACTATTTACTCGTACATGTATGGCATGTTTTTTTTTCACCATGTAAAGTTTTGAGACTCTCATATATACAGCATTGAAAGTCCCAAATTTGTGAACTAATGCCTGACATTTCATATCGTGGCTAAAAGCATCGTAACAAGGGATTTCATGAACGATTACGATGTTTTGGGGCAACTGACAAAATGAAATATTTCACTTGAATATTTTAGCAATTGATTGACATTGCCATAATGTTTAATATTCTAATAAGGCAAAAGAAAATACTTTTGCTTCCGGTTACCTAGCTACCTACCCTATTTTGACAGCCTCTACCCTTATTTTTGTTCTGAAAATAAATGAGGGGGATACAAACCGAAAACCATAATTTACTACATTTTACCCTTGACTTCGAGCAGACATCTCCATATCATCTTAAAAAAAGCCTCCCCAAAAAATCCTTACCGCCACCCTATTTTCAAATGTCATGTAGGCCTAATCGGAATTAAGCAGAACTATTTTTTTTATTGGTCTTACCCTCATTACGTTATTTAAATGCTTCAATGACCAGCGACCATTATTCTAGTTAAATACAGCGAGGTGACAGGTAGTTCATGCACAGAGCTTTGTATTACAATGAACATGTATTAGCAGCACCAACTGCACGACTGTATTGTTATTGATTCCAACATGGCACAAGCACGTATCAACACAACAGCAATCGAGTCTGAGTTTTATTCTGTCTGAAATTAGATTATATCCAAGCATAGGACACTACAATTATCAACTCCTAAACCTACAAAAACAAACAAATCAAGAAGTTACCATTTGATGATTCCATCCAAGGTTCCATAATAGCAGACATTGTCGCTGTCATCTATACAGCTCCCCTCCGCTTCAAAGTCATGCAGTATATAAATTCGGATGAGAATATACTATACTGTAACAGTCCTGTCAAAAACAAGGCCTGAAATGAAAAAAAAGTAATTTCCAAAAATCAGTATTAACTATAAGTAACACGCGGCATGATTATTATAATCATATTGAAAAATGAACACGTACAAATCTAAGTATAAAGCTAGCTTGACTTCACACGGTGATCATCCGCTTGCAAGAAGTGCATTGCTACGTGATGTAGGAAGAAATATATTGAATTTTGTATTTCCTTCTGCCATATCGGTTGACGTATGTGCGTACATTTTCGTAGGCCAAAATATTTTTTTTTCAATGATAATTGCACATGTTGCCTACAGTAAAGCTGTTCGCACTCTAACAGTGTGTGCTCAATTCGTATATGGTCTAGACCGGCACTATCCTTGTATTGTGCGTGTTGGCGTCAGAACGTCGACGTTAATTAAAATCCAATCGCCATTGCACGTGGACACTGACACGGTGAAAATGTATCCTGTATATCAATATTCACAGTTAACGTTTTACCTTGTGCAGTATGTATCTGCTTTACAAGAAGTACACAGATGACGGTTACTTGAAGCATACTGTACGCTGCAGTGCAAACCTATGTGCATTTCCAGTTGTCATTATGTCAGTGGAAGTAGAGCATTCTATATGGATGCTCCAACCTTGTGTGCATAACCATTCCTCCATGGCATAACTAATAAGCATATGGGGCATTTGCCGCTACGGAGCCCAAGAACTGTCACTCAGGTTGCAAACATCGTACGTGTAAGGCATCGATGACTATGCCAGGATCTCACCGACTCTAACGGCAGCACTAGATCTCCGTAGGAAAGTCTATTTATAACATGCCCACCACAAAGTCAATATACGGAGACGTATTGAATATAAAAGACTTCAGGCTTTATATGCGAATCAGCTATGACTCACGTTGGGAATTCCAGACGCATGCAGCCTTGCAACACTCACTGATGTAAACAACAGGGTTCAAAAGTGCAATATACATGCCTGAATATTGGAAACCGTGTTTATACCTTCACCGTTGAGGGACTATTGCACTATTGAACGTGCCATATGCCACTGGATAGCTGGCGACGGACGGTCCGTCAACGTGCGCCATCATGCATATTAATAACTACTCATGTAATAACAAATATTGAATGCTTCGAGTGGTGTAGTAAAACTAGCCTCCGGTGATCCGTGGACCATTCTATTTTCCCGAGGCGAAGCCGAGGGAAAATAGAATGGTCCAAGGATCACCGAGGGAGGCTAGTTCTACTCCACCACAAGATAAAGCATTCAATATTTGTTTTATAACACTTCACCCACAGATTCTGCTTGATTTTAATATTTTACATTATTTAAATCTGAACACAGTTGAAATAAACTTCAATTTCAATACAAAATTGGTGGAAAATGTATTTCTCTCTTAAAAACTAACCCTTCACGAAATGTTTGAACCCAAGTCTGCGGCGCGCTCTCTTTGGAATAATACGCGCTACGCACAACGCGCAACATGCACACCAGCATGCATTTGCACACAAATACCACGCCGTGGAAATAGTACTGTGGTTGCTAATAGTATAGTACAGTACTTTGGTTGCTATGCGCATAGTACTTTTGGCCGTGCACAGAAAGATAGCAAATTAGAAAGTAACATGTGACTCGCTCTCGGCCATTCAAGACACAGAATCTGTGGGTGAGGTGTTATAACAATCAATATGTCTATGCTTACCTTTTGAATAATTGTATATTATAAGAAGAAATATATATATACAATTACAAATAAATCATTACCAATTATATAACTGACATACAGATCCTAGTCATTTGATTCGTGGAACTCACATCACGTGGCATTCGTTATTGCTCCCATTCATGCCATGACTCAGAAAGTACTATCCGCCCATGGGGAATGGGAAATACTATTCAACAGTTAGGATCATGACGCGGTATTTGTGTGCAAATGCATGCTGGTGTGCGCGTTCAGCGTTGCGCGTAGCGCGTATTGTTCCAAAGAGCCAGCGCTACAGCGTTGGATTCAAACATTTTCGTGAAGGGGTGGTTTGGAAGAGACAAATACATTTTCCTCCAGGTTTGTATTGAAATAAAAGTTCAAATATATCAAATGACAAGGATCTATATGTCAGTTATATAAAACAAATATTGAGTGGCTTTAAATTGTGAAATGGGAGGAATATTATCGCTCGGTAAAACCTGGACTTTTCCATTTCACTCGGCTTCGCCTCGTGAAATGGAAAAGTCCAGATTTTACCTTGCGATAATATTCCTCCCATTCCACGCTGAGCCACTCAATATTTGTATAATAATTGTAATAGTAAATTTCGTTTTTGAATTATATTGTTTCGTTCATATTCGAAGATTATATGACAATCTAATTGTCACCATGGTGTCGAGCCGCTCTTTCGTCTGTACCGTGTACTGGATAATTCGCACATTCGAACAAATATATCTTGAACATGATAATTAGACGGGTGCCTTTCTTTTTTTTGACTGAGACAATTCGTGGTGAAGTCGGATCGGAAAATACATGATTTTGTCAAAGACCAAACGTTTTAATCTTCGTAGCGGTTATCGTTACGGCAGCCGTATCATGATTTTCAACTGCAACAATAATGTCTTAAGACTTACTTAGGCTAATAATTTGACCTGACCGCAACAATAATTAAGGGAAATTTCCCCTTGTTTTTTTCTTCAATTTTGGCCAAGAAATGAAATTCCTTGAAACTTGCAGGAAAGATGCCTAAGGTAATCCTGAACACATTCCAATTCGATTTTGGAACAGATGTGCCTTGCAAAAGAAAATTTGGTGGAACATTTCGGACAGAAACGGTCAAAATTCTTTTTCATTTTTGAGTATTTCCTCACCAAAGAAACCGATGATTTTTGCCTAAATCTGCTTCAATATCAATGTTTGAACATTGATTCATGCTCCACTCGTCTCCACAGCAATTTTTGCATTGTTTGAAGAAAATTCAATTTTTGGCCGAATTTTGATAAGAATGGAAGGCTAACCCCTTGGGTTTTTTTTAATTTTGGCCAAAAAATCTAATTCTTTGAAACTGGCAGAAAAGATGCCTTAGGTATTTCTTAATTTGCTAATCGGAAAACGAGTTGTTCATTTTTGTTCAATAGTGCAGTATTGGCTGGTCTCGCACTTTAAAATTCTTTCAGTAGAGGGCGCGCCATCCATGATGTGTGTAAGAGGTGTATTGAATATCACGAGAAACAGTCAGACAATAAAAATGATATGGTCGGAACAATTTAATGTTTTACACGCGAAAAATCCACATTGACTTTCATTCGGATTGCATTTGTCGCGCTTAAAACACTGTAATGTTACGGTCAATATAGCTTCATTGGTTGACGGTTTTTAATGAAATTAAATCTCGGTATGTTAAACATAATGACAAATCACTACACGAAAATTCAATTTAATACATTTTGCGTTTCTGGAGTTGTTGCCCCCTAAACGAGTTTGGTGGTAGATAATTTTCGAGACCACTATTTATGTTGCGCGCCCTCTACTGAAAGAATATTAAAGTGCGAGAGCAGCCGATGCTGCACTATTGAACAAAAAAAAAAAAACTCGTTTTCCGATGAACAACTCAAGAAATACATGATGTATTAAACTGAATTTTCAAAGACTTGTTTTCCAAGATGTGTGTAAGAGGTGTATTGAATATCACGAGAAACAGTCCTACAATAAAAATGATATGGTCGTAACAATTTAGTGTTTTACAAGCGAAAAATTCACATTGATTTTCATTCGGATTGCATTTGTCGTGCTTAAAACACTGTATTGTTACGGTCAATATAGCTTCATTGGTTGACGGTTTTCAAAAATATAATGTTAAACATAATGACAAATCACTACACGAAAATTCAATTTAATACATTTTGTGTTTCTGGAGTTGATGCCCCCAAAACGAGTTTGGTGGTAGATAATTTTCGAGACCACTATTTAAATAGTGGTCTCGAAAATTATCTACCACCAAACTCGTTTTGGGTGCAACAGCTCCAGAAACACAAAATGTATTAAATTGAATTTTCGTGTAGTGATTTGTCATTATGTTTAACATACCGAGATTTAATTTCATTAAAAACCGTCAAACAATGAAGTTATATTGACCGTAACAATACAGTGTTTTAAGCGCGACAAATGCAATCCGAATGAAAGTCAATGTGGATTTTTCGCATGAAAAATACTAAATTGTTACGACCATATCATTTTCATTGTCGGACTGTTTTTTCGTGATATTCAATACACCTCTTACACACATCATGGAAAACAAGTCTTTGAAAATTCAGTTTAATACATCATGTATTTCTTGAGTTGTTCATCGGAAAACGAGTTGTTTATTTTTGTTCAATAGTGCAGCATCGGCTGCTCTCGCACTTTAACACTCTTTCAGTAGAGGGCGTGCAACATAAATAGTGGTCTCGAAAATTATCTACCACCAAACTCGTTTAGGGGGCAACAACTCCAGAAACACAAAATGTATTAAATTGAATTTTCGTGTTTTTCAGTAGTGAGTTGTCATTATGTTTAACATTACGAGATTTTATTTCATTGAAAACCGTCAACCAATGAAGCTATATTGACCGTAACACTATAGTGTTTTAAGCGCGACAAATGCAATCCGAATGAAAGTCAATGTGGATTTTTCGCGTGTAAAACACTAAATTGTTACGACCATATCATTTTTATTGTAGGACTGTTTCTCGTGATATTCAATACACCTCTTACACACATCATGGAAAACAAGTGTTTGAAAATTCAGTTCAATACATCATGTATTTCTTGAGTTGTTCATCGGAAAACGAGTTGTTTATTTTTGTTCAATAGTGCAGCATCGGCTGCTCTCGCACTTTAATACTCTTTCAGTAGAGGGCGCGCAACATAATAAATAGTGGTCTCGAAAATTATCTACCACCAAACTCGTTTGGGGGGCAACAACTCCAGAAACACAAAATGTATTAAATTGAATTTTCGTGTAGTGATTTGTCATTTTGTTTAACATTACGAGATTTAATTTCATTAAAAACCGTCAACCAATGAAGCTATATTGACCATAACACTACAGTGTTTTAAGCGCGACAAATGCAATCCGAACAACAGTCAATGTGGATTTTTCGTGTGTAAAACACTAAATTGTTACGACCATATCATTTTTATTGTCTGACTGATTCTCGTGATATTCGATACACCTCTTACACACATCATGGAAAACAAGTCTATGAAAATTCAGTTTAATACATCATGTATTTCTTGAGTTGTTCATCGAAAAACGAGTTGTTCATTTTTGTTCAATAGTGCAGCATCGGCTGCTCTCGCACTTTAATCTTCTTTCAGTAGAGGGTGCGCAACATAAATAGTGGTCTCGAAAATTATCTACCACCAAATTCGTTTGGGGGGCAACAACTCCAGAAACACAAAATGTATTAAATTGAATTTTCGTGTAGTGATTTGTCATGATGTTTAACATTACGAGATTTAATATCATTAAAAACCGTCAACCAATAAAGCTATGTTGACAGTAACACTACAGTGTTTTAAACGCGACAAATGCAATCCGAATGATAGTCAATGTGGATTTTTCGCGAGTAAAACACTAAATTGTTACGACCATATCATTTTTATTGTCAGACTGATTCTCGTGATATTCAATACACCTCTTACACACATCATGGAAAACAAGTCTTTCAAAATTCAGTTCAATACATCATGTATTTCTTGAGTTGTTCATCGGAAAACGAGTTGTTTATTTTTGTTCAATAGTGCAGCATCGGCTGCTCTCGCACTTTAATATTCTTTCAGTAGAGGGCGCGCAACATAAATAGTGGTCTCGAAAATTATCTACCACCAAACTCATTTTGGGTGCAACAACTCCAGAAACACAAAATGTATTAAATTGAATTTTCGTGTAGTGATTTGTCATTATGTTTAACATTACGAGATTTAATTTCATTAAAAACCGTCAACCGATGAAGCTATATTGACCGTAACAATACAGTGTTTTAAGCGCGACAAATGCAATCCGAATGGAAGTCAATGTGGATTTTTCGCGTGTAAAACACTAAATTGTTTAGACCATATCATTTGTATTGTCTGACTGTTTCTCGTG